AACACAAAGAGAAGACAGGTTAGGAAGAAAAGGTGGAGTTATGATATATTAAAAGGCCAGGTTTAAAAACCTGAGCTCAGATTGTTTCATCCAAGATTTTTTTACAACAGAAATTTGTGAGGTTAAAAATCTGGTCGGGTAAATAATGATTCGATTAAAACTTAAGAGTTAAACCAGAACATCAACGAGTCACACTCTGTCACACAGTGAGGTTCGACTACAAGCTGTGGAGAAAATAACGAGCCTGTTTGCTTCGTTTTCAGAAGGCTGATAACGTGTCTGAGTCTGTCTTCAGCAGAGATTTATACAGGTCTGAATAGGTGTTAGTGTCCCATCAAATCCAGGTAATAGCCTTATCCATCTTTTCTTTATCACATACCACCCTCCACTGATGAGGGTCCACAGACACTTGATTGTGTGAGTGCTATAAAGCATTCTCAGTATTGAGATCACTTTTTTTCTTTTGCACATTTTTCAGCACGTAACATGTTCCGCAGTTTTTCTACTATTTCATCAATTCATATGTTAAAATGTTCAGCTCCGTCAAGACATTTCAGCTACAACTTTTGGTATTTCAGCAATTTTTACTTTTTGAGATATTTACAGTATAGCTTAATGTGCCATTTTTTGTCTCATTAAAAATGAATGTAGCTGTCTTCATTCTTAAAACCCATCAAAAGGCCCATAAACTTTTACTGCACTTTTTACTTTCTGCTTTTTCTCTTCTTTTTGATACCTCCAGCTTTCTTCAGCTACTATTTTGCTGATTTGAGCTTTTTTCTGCCTTTTTAGCTATCTTTCTGAACTTTTCAGCAATTCTTCTGCCATTTTAAACTTTTCTTTTGTTTGTTTCGTTCTGTCATCTTCAGCTTGTTCTGCCCCATTTCATCTGTTTTTAATCATTTTACTTTTTACCTGCATGTTTCTGCATTTTTCAGCAATTCTCTGCCCCTTGGAGCTTTTGTTTTCAGGGTTGTTCTTTAAATTTCAGCAATCATTCAGCTAATATTGGGTTCTACTTTGATTGTTAAAATTCAGCATTAATAGTTCAGCATTTAAAAATATTTTAGCGTCTTCAGCAGCTTTCAGCTATGTTATTCAGAAATAAGCATTTACAGGAAATGTAATTTTAATCGTAAGAAGAGTTAAAATGCAGTTTAGAGGAAGCTTCATGTTCAGTCTTCAAGTTTTTGATGCATCTGTGTGTTTCTTAGCAAAATATGTCATGAACCAGAAGATGGATTTTATTGAAACTATATAGAATATACAGCGGGTAAATATTGAACACGTCACCATTTTTCTCAGTAAATATATTACTAGAGGTGTTAATGACATGAAATTTTCACCAGATGTTGGTAACAACCCAAGTGATCCATACATACAAAGAAATCAAACCATAAATGTCCAGAAATGAAGTTATTTGTAATAATTGCTCAGGTGTGATTTTGGCCCATTCTTCCACACAAACAGTCTTCAAATCTTGAAGGTTTCGTGGACCTCTTCTATGAACTCTGATCTTTAGTTC